TGTAGTTGGTCCTATGAAACAACCACAAGCCTAGATCTAGCCCTTTACACTATCTTATTTAGTACCACAGACCTTTGGTAACTTTGAATGCCTCTCACAAGAACCTTCACATAAAATTGAAAGTTTTTACCATTCATACACACGAGGCTATGACTCCTTTTTGTACTACAAGCCAACAGATTGTCTCAGCTGTCCCCAAAACCTCCAGTCCTCTTAGTACATGCCAGAGAGAAAGGAATTATGAAGAAAAGGACATTTGGCTGAAGGAAGCCCACTCCACATAACTGCAGTCTTCAGGAGACAGCTGAGACAAATTACATAAAAGCAGGTGAAGGGAAGAACACATTTTTCTCTTGGCTGCCTCCTGTATCAGCACTTTGGAAAACACCACTCCACAAACAGAACAAAATTCAGCTATCCAAAGACTCAGAAACTCCAAGCAAACTTGAACAGGACAGGATTTTTCCCTCCAAGGTAATAGCACCTTATCTTTAATAACCTCCTAATATTCTTCCCAGCAATATCAAATGATTCTTTCCCACCCTGGTCACTTGGTTACTGATCTGAAACAAAGATATCTAAATAGAGAAAAAAAATCTATTATAATTAAATGGGTGTTTCTGGGTCATGTTTGCTGGTGACAAATGGCACTAAGCTGAACAGCAATTGTGAGTAATCAAATAGTGTGACTACCACTGATTTAACCTTTAATTGCTTTGAGAAACAAATGTCAGCTTCTAAAAGGCTCAGAAGCTGGTTGCAAGTGAGAAAACCAACCAGTGATCAAAACCAGTTTGTTTTAACTGTCAGTGAATAAAAAAATATTTTGCGTAGAGCCCCTCCTATTAGACCAAAGGGTATTTTTGAAGATTACGGCACAGAGAGAGGGTGGAACCTAGAGGTTCCGCTCCTGCAGCTACTACAAGTTTTCTATTTGACTATAAGCATAGTGAGTAATGATAGAATCCTTCGGCTTCCTTACCTATAAGTAATGTTTTTTTACTTAATACTGAATATGTATTCACTTGTTCAGGAAAGACTCAAAAATAACATAGTAAGCACTGCTTTTGCATTTAAGTGATCAGCTAGTAGCAAAAAGACAAAACTATTTTATAACTGTAACTGTCTTACAAGAATTAATGGGACTGCAAACAAAAAAAATCAAGACAAGTTACTGAAAGAAGCAAGGGGACATGCAGATGTTTGTTGTGAAGCTATTCAGGTGGAAAGTGGGTATGTCTCAAAAGAAAGGCAGGTCTCTGCCAGGAGATGTTTTTTTCCCTAGCTGCCCTACCAAAATGCTTTCAAAACTAGCAACACCACTCTCGCAGAAACGAGTGGCTCATTTTAGTCTTCTTTCTTATCCCACAGCTTTGCACTTTAGTTCCCAGTCCTCTTTTTTCACAGTAATGCCATTTTCTCAAGCCATTTCAAGTTGCGTCATTCCTTCACTGGTCAGTATGATGCAGAGTCTTCCTCAAGTGCCTGACCATTCATACTCCTACCTCAGAGACACATTACCAGAACTGGGTCAGAGAATTCTGTCCTGAGAGCACCACTCTGGCCTGTGACCTTCCCAAACTAAGCCAGATGTCACGCAGATTAAGAAGAAAGGAAAAAGGTGTGAACTGGAGATCCTGAATTTTCTGCCTCTTTACGCTAGGGCTAAAAGCCTTAGCAATTGGCCCTGTTCTGAACTGAGTGTTGGTACAGATAAAGCCATGGAAGTCAGGCTAGGCTCTCCCTTTGTTCTCAGCTTACAATGCTGAATCCTAGTCAGATACAGCCAAGGCAATCTCTTGCTCACGGGGTAGCTGAGCAGTGGTAGAACAGAGGTAAGCCTGTTACCTAAAATACTAAGCTTTCCAAAGCTACAGAACTACAGCGCAGCTGCTGATGAGAAAAGCTAAACTGCCTCGCTAGTTACCACCTACTACAAGTACTCTCTGAAAATTTCAGCCTTCCCCTGCAGACTTCGGTCCCCACTCCCTGACTTCCCTGGCAGTGTGCATAGATACTAAACTGCATTACGTTCTTCACTGGTGGTTGTTCCTGGCTACAACAGGAGTCACAGTGATCAACGTACCTATGTGTCAGATTCCATATAACAGAACATGCTAAAAGGTGCTCACACACAGGCACTTTTCCCGGCTTCTCACCTCTCACCATACTCATTTGTTTTTGAGGGAAAAACAGTTCTTCAGCCTTGGGGAAAAAAAAAAAAAAATCTGACACAGTGAAGCACAGCAAGAACAGTGCAAAACAGGGAGCCATGGCAAGTCACAGAGCCTTATGCCCAGACTAACAGACTGCTAAATTATACTATCCTCTGCTTTCAATAACTATAGCTCATTGTATCAATCTGTGAGAGCTTTCTAGAAGTTAAAAAATTTTAATTTTCAAAACCAAAAAAACCTCTGTTCTTTATACAAACACAGTCTTCACCTGTGCAGCCTTCAAAATAGCTGCACTGCTTCTGTTCTAACAAGACAGCAAGAAAAAAAAGTGGTATTTGAAAAGAGATATTCACCTTTCTTTACAATTTGGCAAGAATTGTATCTATGAATTGAAGGTGACAAACCATCGCTAATGCTCTGCTGACTTCAGTAACTCACTACTTTACAGGAAAACTGCAGAACTACCAGAATGTTGTTGGCTGTACAGAAGCATTGGTCTGACAACAAAAGACATATTCTTTTGTGAACAGACTGGGCTGTAGCTGCATTTTACTGAGGGCCTAATCAGCAGTTACAGCTCACTACGCACATGGCTTTCAGAACAGCATATAAAGGTGTTTCCTGTTTTTCTCTACTAAGAAAGAAAGAGGTTTTGCATCACAATCAGATTAAAACAAGAAAAAAAGCCAAGCCTTTTCTGTGGTAAAGCAAAAGAGGAATCCCTGCTATACTTGACAGCAACTTTGCAATTTGAACCACAGTAACTCCAAAACTAAATTGATGGCAGGAGACAGCCATGAACTTAGGCTGTTGAAAGAAATTATAAACTTCCACTCCAACTCTAATTAAATCACAGGTTGCTTTTTTGTAAGATACCCCTCACTTGCTGTTTATGTCTGCAAGGAGCAATGAAGAGTTAAACACACAGCTGGTTATAGTCCATCCAGTAATACAATATGATCACTATTTCCTAAAATGCTTTATACAACAACAGGAATATTGACTTATGAGAAGGCAGCCCTTCCCATGCCAGAATGGAAAAGAGGACTAATGCCAGAGTGAACAACATCACATTTCCTTTGTGGTCTGTTCCCTTCAGCATGGGATAAGGAAATAGTAAAATAATGTCCAAAACTCCGCATATGTGAAAAACCTTACGGATTGTTTGCGATATGTTCCCAGTTAGTTTTCTGCTCTTTTTTTCAATTAACCTAGAAGCTCTATACTCCTCCTTCCTGTGCCTAGCTGGAGTTGTGGGGGAAGCAAACTTTCAGAGCACTTACATCACTTATTCTCTTTAGGAATATGAGTCTTTCATCTTCCTTCCTAATGAACATAAAAGAACAGTAAAAAGATAGTGGGCAGTAGAAACTACTCGTCAACAGCTTGACAGCAGAAGCAAACTTTGCAGCACCATGAAGCCAAAAGGGTGAGCCCCAGCCTCAACTCTTGTGTTACCCACCCCAGTAAGTGCAGTCATGCGACAGCTGCCATCTGTCTGCTGTACATGTAGATTTTAGACACCAAAGAGCCTATTTCCTTCCTAAAAGGTAATTTTGCCCAAGTCTTATAGCAATAGGCAGGTATCACTAAGTGCTCACGGGAAGAATTACAAAGAATGTGAATCCTATGCAGCATTCCCTTTAGCATTAGCATTCACATCTCAGAATAGCTGTCAGTGTAGTGCTGTTGAACTGCCAGATTGGGGCTCTCGTATTTCTAAACCATTCAGATGCAATCAAGCCAGAGATCATACCCAACTTATTGCAATAGATTTTCTGCTGCTGGGCAGCACTGAAATAAGGCTATTGGAGTTCATCAGTGTAAATTTGAAGGTGTCAGTTGTTTGTTGAAATTTAAAAAATAGTGTTCTTTTATGTTAAGCTAGGAAGGAATGCCTCCTCCTTCAGTGATGACAACTTACTGTTCAAACCCTTAACTGTTGTGTATAGCACACTTACATTCCTGTGCTTGCTTTCAGTTTTGGTAAAGTAGGAGCTTGGTTTATGGGTTCCCATACATAGGGAACCTTTCTGAACCTTGAGAAGGCAATTCTATGTTGTTCTACGACTTGTATATTCCAATGAATGAAAACAAGAAGGGGAAGCTTCAACTAATTTATATGTCATTAGTTATGATACACACACTGCTGTAACATTTTTCATGCAGGAAAAGTAATAATAGAACTATCCATGTGTAAAAGGAAGTAGTGCAGTATTTTCTTTGGGGACACTAGACCTTTTCTACTTTAGCCATTTCAAGAAGCATAAAACCCATCATTTGTTCTTCTAGTCCTTGGCTAGGCAAATCCCTCCTCTCTCGGCAGATGGACAGAAAGTGAAGACAGGTCAACCTTGGAGAGAAAGAATGCATCATATACAAGATTTTGGAGTTAGTCATGATACAAGCTGGACATCTAGACAGGCTTGTGCAAGTATTCCTTTTATGATAAGACCAGCACATTTCTCAACAGGATAGCAACCTAATTTAAGAATAAACTTATCAGGTGACCATCAGTAGTAGAACGAAGCCAACACGAGCAAAGCTTTATCTATAAAATAACTCAAATATCAAAGTCTCCTGCAGCAGAGGGAAGTTACGAGAGTGGAGAATAGAAGTGTCACTATTAATTCACACATGTGCTCATCAAAAGGGACTTTGTAGCATGCTGAAAAGGAAGTGTTAACAAATTCTGACAACAGAATTGCACAGTTGCTACAGATCTGTAAACTTCAAATTGCAACATGCACTGCTACAGCAGTAGAAGAGCTCGCCAATTCTAAGTTTAGCAGCTGTAGAATAGCATATATACAAAAATGTTACCTGTAAACCACAGCAACCCACTGCATTCATTATTGAAGCATTATGAATGACCTTGTATGGAATCCCCAATTTTACTGCACGTAGTACTAAATCACTGTGCGTTGTGGCCCTGTGTGAAGAAGAGAAAGGAATTAAAGATTGAAAGGATAAAGTGACCAAGTGTTACTAGCATTATCGTTTGTTTTGAAAGTAAAATTAAGCTCTTCACAACTCAGGCAATGCACAGGTGCCAAAAGGGCAACAATAACTTGACTAATTGTTACAGGAAAGTAAAAACTCGAATGAGGCTTTCATATGTCATCTTCTCTAGCTGAAAATACAGGCATCCTCAGTATGTTACGGTTCTTTGCAGCTTTCTAGCATCATTAAAACTGTAACACCAACACAATTGTTACTTTTTCAAGTAGCTTTGGCGAGTACTTGAAAAGGAAAGTTCCATTTATCCTTTGTGTTCTGCAGATGTCTATTGGACATTTGTTGAACTGTAAAGGTCAACTCTATTTGGCATAGACTTCAGCAAAACTCCAGTATCTCCTTACTTGCTGCACAGCCAAACCTTCTGCCACCTGCACCAGTGCATGCTAGGAAAGCAACACGCTCAAACAAGAACTTTGAACAGACTGAGGTAAACTGCATGCAGTATTTAGAAAAAAAATCCTTAGACTAAATCAGCTTTTATAATATTTCAGCCAAATTACTCAAATTAACAATCCCTAAATTTGAGTGATCAAGTTTATTCTGAAATAATTAAGAAAATTCTAGTTAAGCTTAGAACTGAGCTAAATTTGGCTCCATAAACACCTTGTGCTAACTACAAGCCCAGTAATACTTGCACCAGTTGCTACAATCGGGATTAGAGCCCCTGGTAAGTATATATAGATTCAGCAAATCTTTGAACTGCAACAATGTTCAGATATGTATCTTGCTTGCATGTATGCTTGGATACATGCTAGACACTCCATTTTTGAACTATGAAAACGCACCTAACTCCTTGCCTAAATTTATCAAATCTGAACAATGGCCTTAGCCATCTCATTCCCAGGAAGTACCATACATTTCTGTGTAGCCTTTCCAAAGAAGGAAGCAAAGAAAGAAATAGCATATGCCGATCAGAAGAATTAAATAGGAAGACTGCTTTCACACTGGCCTGGTTCAGTTACCCTAGAAGAATTTCTCTGATTTTTAGTCTGATAATTTTGACACTGCATGTCTGACTAGCACCAATCAGCCAATAGGTGCTTCAGACTGGAACACAAATGTGGCAGCAGCTAGCAAGGCTGTAAAGATCAATCATTTAAAAAAGAAACCAATTTCACTGGAGGAAAAAAAATGAGGAATCTGAACTTGGGAAATCGGAGGCCCTGACACAAACAGGCTCCTAGACCTAGGAGAATGCAGTGAAGTGATTTAAACCAACACTTTGATTAGTAAACAAACTGTGCTTCTGACTTCCATAAGCAAAGGTGATTTACAGAATCACAGAATGTTTGGAGTTGGAAGGGACCTCTGTGGGTCATCTAGTTCAACCCCCCTGCCGAAGCAGGGTCTCCTACAGCAGGCTGCACAGGACCTCTTCCAGGCGGGTCTTGAATATCTCCAGAGGAGATTCCACAATGTCTCTGGGCAGCCTGTTCCAGTGCTCTGTCGCCCTCAGAGGGAAGAAGTTCTTCCTCATGTTCAGACGGAACTTCCTATGCTTCAGTTCATGCCTGTTGCCCCTTGTCCTGTCGCTGGGCACCACTGAAAGAGTTTGGCCCCATCCTCCTGAAACCCACCCCTCAGATATTTGTAAGCATTTATTAGGTCCCCTCATAGCCTTCTCTTCTTCAGGCTGAACAAGCCCAGCTCCCTCAGCCTCTCCTCATAGGACAGATTCTCCAGTCCCCTCATCATCCTTGTAGCCCTCCGCTGGACTCTCTCCAGTAGCTCCTCACCTTTCTTGAACTGGGGAGCCCAGAACTGGACAGAGTACTCCAGACGGGGCCTCACTAGGGCAGTGTAGAGGGAAAGGAGAACCTCCCTTGACCTACTGGCCACACTCTTCCTAATGCACCCCAGGATCCCATTGGCCTTCTTGGCAGCCAGGGCACACTGCTGGCTCATGATCAACCTGTCATCCACCAGGACACCCAGGTCCCCCTCCACAGAGCTGCACTCCAGCAGGTCCGCCCCAAGCCTGTACTGGTGCATGGGGTTGTTCCTCCTCAGGTGCAGGACCCTGCACTTGCCCTTGTTGAACCTCATCAGGTTCCTCTCTGCCCAACTCCCCAGCCTATACAGGTCTCGCTGAATGCCTGCTCTAAGAGAAGAGCGAACTAGTTTTACAGCCTTGCATATAGTTTTACAGCCTTCACATACATAGGACAAGCAGCACTGGAGGATACTGTGATTATTCTAATACTGACCAACGGATCAGCTGGCTTTATTCACTGAAATTTGCTCCAGCCAGTATTTTCTCCCAATACATCTGTTCATAATGACCTTAGGTAAAAGCAGAAGTGCCCTCCTGAGCACTCAGCTAATACCAGCAAAGGCTTCATGGAGTTAGCCCTCTGCACCCAGAGCTATGCTAGCATTTTCTGTCACTGATACAGATTTTAAGTTTTATGGGTAGTAATAATACAAATGGTAGCACCAGGCTAGATGAAGGTGGGCTTTCCAGTATACTACTAAAACTGTCAAGTTCCTGCTAGCACATCCATAGCTGTTACCACAGGCAAAAATTTGCAGTGAACAACAGTGAGAGGAATGACATGGGCACAGCTTGTTTTATCACTTTAACCATTAAACCACCAACACCTGAGATTTCCTAAGGCTGCCAAGTACTCTTCTTACCTGCAAATATACTTCAGCTGCAGTCACATGGCTTCTATTCTCCCATACGGCTTCTCTTAGGACAGAAACATTCACTGCTCTTTCCTAGCAACCTCATGAACCCCTAAATCCTTAGGGCTCTATCTGGGCATAGGAGCAGTTCTAGCTGTAATACTAAGAGCTAAGAACATAAAGATGTAGAGAGAAGCAACTCATTCAAAAAAAGGGTAGTTTTCTACAATGACATAGTATGTTAATCAGAATTGAAGTATTTTGACACTGAAACTAATGATAACTGATGCAGATCAATATATTGCGTACAAGCAGCGATTACATTTCAATATATGTAGGTTAGTTTTTTTCATCTTATGTACTTATATCTGTCACTGGATCAGAGCACAATGGTACAGGTAACGTGGCTGTACATTCTACATGAATCCTAATTTTAATGTTAACATGCATTAAAAGTACAATTAATATTTCTGAAATACAGCATCATCTGCCCATAAGTACTAGTTTAATATAATATTCTCTTGCCAATTCCCTTCAACCTGTATTTACATAAATTATCCACTTTTGAGAGATGTGCACACTGCTCCTTTTTTTCATACACTCTCTCTATTTTTTCACTCACAAATAGGGCATTCAGTGATTCGATTTTTCTTGTGCCCCCTAACAGTGTGATATAAATCTTGAATCACCAGCTGGACACTAAAAGCTCTTCTGACGATGCCTGACTGAAAAGACAGAATGAGGTCCTTCTGGTGATAGAAGACTATACTTTTCAGCAGCAATAAAAAGTGCAGTATGGCTCCTTCCTATTGAAAATACAGAGTGATCAAGCCAGAGCAATAATTAAAATGTTGTTTTGACTTACCCAAAGGGATCACCAACTACAAGAAACGCGACATCACAGACATTAGCTTCTTTTAAAATGCTATCTGCTTCTTGTTCCACTGTTTCTCGGTCAGCCAAAATCAATTCTTTTCCATAAAACTCTTCCTAGAAATTGAAATTAATAAGAAACACCAAAATAAGATGCTTGGGAGTGTTTTGTATCTCTCTGGGTGCTTATGCAGGACCAGAGACAACAGACACTGGAAAGGCCAACTTTATTGTTGTCCCCAGCAGTCTGACCCATGTCTTGGAGAACTCTGCCTCCCCTTGCGAGAACACCTGAGCTTCCCATAAAGCAGCTCCCGAGTTTACAAAAATTAGTCAAGCACATATTCTGATACTGATTTGTTTTTTTATGCCTTCTGTGCCAGTTGAGGAACTGCTCCAAAAGTAGCTCAATCATGCCTGCATACCAAAGGTACCTGGGTGGACTCTAGGCCTAGTTAATTTACCTGGTCATCCTACCATAAGGCATCCTCTGTCACAAGTCTGAGCCTAACTGCTTAGATTAGTTATACTACTGACATCAAATGAGACAAAAATACAACACTAGCTATACCACAACCTAGTGTTTTTAGATTTTTCCTTAGTACATTGTAACTCATCACATCTAAGGTATGATTTCATATTAATCCTTCAGCTTCAGTTCTCTGTAAGAAATACTTTACCTTGTGTACACATAAACGTGTATTTTGATTGTGTCCTTTGCTTTTCTTCAGCAGCTCAGTAATCACTGTGTCTCTTTGTATGTTTTAAACACCCCTATTTCCGGAATCAATTCCATGCGCAATAAAACTTCCGTTAGTTCTAGAAACATGTTATCTGACCATCCTGAACATATCTGTCTCTGTAAATCATGTTTCACCATACATTTCACATGTTCTTTATATGATTAGATAAAGATTTTTTCCCAGGGCATAGACCAAAAAAAGGTGGTTTTGTTCTAAATAGTATTCAGAAAATTTGGGTGGTATCACAAATATTAACAAATTGGTAAAACTATTAAGTCAGTTATGGTCCAGAAAGATTTTTCTGATTTCTCCTGTGACTTCAGTGATAGTTTCACCTTTGCCCACAAACAATAATGAATTGACAAGAGAATCATCATCATACTTGTACAGAAGCGGAGGAGTGCTTCCATAAAAAACACACATCCAGTAGCTAGAGTACTAGATACAGGACCTCAGTTACTGGGTTTGGTTCCCTTTTCTAAAGATGACTTTCTCACCATTTTTGGATAAGTTTCTCTACCTGTATAAAATGAGGATATTATTTTCCTTGTGAAACAGACTGCAACCTGTACAGATTTGATAGAAAGGGGACCAAATAAATGTATAAGCAAATCTTGCATCTGTGATTCAGAATGGCTGATGGCCACCCTGGAGTACTGCTGAGGTCTATACTAAACAAACTACAACAAATTTTTACATCCCACTTGTTTTTATTAGGTATCTTACACTAGATGCACATTAGCAAGTAGTACAGCAGCAACAGAAGCTGATCTATAAAGCAAAGCACTTGGTGCTGGGAACATTTTTTTTTTTTAATAGCAAATGCAGATTTTGCAAAGCAAAAATACCCAAGTAATAATTTCTGTTTTGCAATTTTCCAACTACCCAACAGCAACAAAAAAAAACCCACTTTGTTTTGAATGGATTAATTTCAATTCAGATTGCTTCAATGTATTAAAAAAATAGAAAAACATATATTATATCTTCATTGCAAAATACAGCAGATATACCAGAGATGGCCCCAAATATTCTAGCCTATAAATCACACAGCGCTGACCACAAGCTAGAAGTCTCATGTGCTGCACGTACATACAGATATGTATACAAGTACATTATGGCTATACAGCATCCAAGACTCAGACAGCATCTCTGATAGTACTACACAGCTTATTTGGAGGTGAGATCCCTGTTCTTTGGGTAGGTAAGCCCCTTTTTGGTATTAATAAACTTTATCTTTCTAGGACCCATGAATCCATCAGTTATAATTTGTACATTTTTACTCCTGTCTCCTTCCACAAGGTGTATTTACTAACAAAAAGCTTATCTCCATGCTGTTCAACAGCCTATCTCTGACTGAACTGTGTATGTTCTAGAAGTCCCAACATGGTGAGTCAGCCTATCCCACAAGGAAACATGGAAACCAGACACACTCGAATTATTCCCAGTAGGCACCATAACACCTCAGGCTGACACAGAAGTTCAAGGCTTCACCTGTATTTTTCTGGTATGTCTTTTATTCATTTGTTTTTAAATTAGATCAGACATTTTTCTGACCAAGTTCTCCAACATTTCAGGATTGCTGTGTTGTTAGAATTTGAGGTGAAAACTAGCGTCAAAATACACACATTACTTGTAGGAAGAAAAATTTATTTTCATTCCAGTCTTCTCATAGGTAGCAAAATGATTTCTCCTATAAGATACAGTAGGTGAAGGTCTCGTACATACTTTTTCCAAGAACACATACCATTAGTTTCTCCTGCCTGGAGAGGTTAGGTTGCACAGTTACCCCGCCTAGGGTTACTGGCCTACCAGCCCCAGCGCCCTCCTCGCTCTCCGTACGAGAGAGGCGTACATATAGAGATACGGCAGCGGCCAGACCTACCAGCGCTTCCTTGCCCACCGTGAGGGCGGACGTGTAGGCCTCCAGGT